TTGAAATATTGTTTAGTGTTTCAGTTTGGTGAAATGCCCAGTAGATTCTGCATGGTATAAAAACCTAAATGGAAGGTTCTGGTTAAATCATTTGATCTGTAAATCATTTAGCCATCCTTTCCTTACAAAGCTGAATGGCTCGTTTGTTTCACAGCTCACTTACATCTTGATATTACATATCAATATGTTTACTGCCCAATTGGAGTGCTAATTTTGTAGTCTCTTTGCAAGCATAACAGTTCTGAAATGATTATAGTTGTAACAGCTCCGCTGGCAGCTAAGTGAGCGTGTAGTAAATGTCATTTCCAGATACCTTTCATGACTCTGCATTGTGGAACATACCTATTAATAAACATTACTATGTAGGCTGAATCTGTAGACTTTTCATACTAAACAGAGAGTTCAGGTATTTTGGATAATAAATTAGATTATTAATCTGAAGCTATACTTCATAAACTATCTGTCTTCTTAAACCAAAGTGCAGTAACCTATAGTAGCCAGTCAATATTTGCAGTTTGTTGCCTGGTATCAGAAAATTGAAATACAGTTCTCATAGGTTACTGCACTTTAGCTTTGTTGGTTTTTTTGTACCAAATAAACTCAGTTTTTACATATTCCGTTTTAAAGCCATTTTCTAAGGAGGCATATACTTTACTTTTTATGCATATATAAACTTTTGAGAGGGTTTTTGAAAATTTCTACACCAGGGGACTTTGGTAGGCAAATTTTAATTCTGCAAGCAAGACTGGATTTAAAGTTGGTAACTTAAGTGAACTTAAAACAAACCTGTCACTTTCCCATGCAGGGCATTGCCACAGGCTTTTTTTTTTAACACCGCTCTCCCAAGCAGCTCATGCTCACCTTTCCTTATATCCCCAGCCCTGTAACAACTTGTTTTATAACTAATATTGTGGAAAGTGTTATTTAATAGGTTATTTTGTAAAAACATAGATGGTTTATAGAATTACTGTGCCATTCAAGAAACACCATCTTATATTACCAGAGCTTAAAATCTCCCTTCAACACCATTGCTGGTAGACCATTTTGGCCCTGGACATTGGACATTGTTTTTCTTGTTATTTGTTTAAGCCATGAAAAGGACAAATTCCCAGCTAAAGGTTTAGCATAAATACAATAAGGCAAGCTTCACTGTTAATGAGACTGCTCTGTTGATTAGTATATTAATATAAACACCGCTGACACTTTCTTAAACTGAATCTTTTCAGATGTTGGAAAAACTGAAAGACAGATGGATGCATACAGGCTTATGGGAGAACTTAGAAAGAATCAAGACAGTCATTAAGGAACCACAAGGAGGAGATAAGACGGATTTTGATAAATTGCTGCAGATCTATTATGATGCTATACGTTTTAGAGGTGAAAAAGGTACGTCTGACAATTTGTTTGCAGTAAGTGCAAATGATACGTAATCTAAATATGTGCAACTATAAATATTTAGCCATTAGTGTAGTAGATACAAATGTAATGTCTCTACATATAATTTTGCCAGTTTTAGTTTTTCATGCACAGTATGTCGAAATGTATCTATCATATTGTAGAGGACACAGGAATATTCATAGACCATCAGTTGCATGCCACTTCCTGCAGGTGATTGGATACTGTCTCCCCCCAGTGTATCCATATAACCATGCCCACTTCATGAGACTCATGGTTTTTTTGCTAGTGTTCTTCTGTAATGAATGCTTTCTCTTCTTGTAGAAGAATTTCCAGCTAATTTTCACCAGATTTATTTTACCTTCAACTGACACTTCTATCAAAATCTAACAGATCATGGCTCATTAGAAGTCTCTGGATCCAATGCTCTTGAGTATACCTTGGCAGGCCAGCCTGTAATATGTTTTTTTTTTGGTATCAGATCATGTGTTTGGCGCTTACCTTGGCACATTGGGCAACAGATGTAGTTGACTGCTATACAGGTCCAGAGTCCTTGTCCATTCCTACAGCACTTTACACCCTGAAGACCCCTTAAGGGGTATGCCCACCCCAACGGGCAAAACCTGGACCCTGATCAGGACTATTGATGTGGATAAGTGATGTTGTCTCCCTTTTTTTAATCAGATTTTATTTAACCAGTTGCCTCCTGGCCTATAGCGAGATGGTGACCAGGCGAACAGCTCGTCCCTCTGGGTGGACGCCATATGGCGTCCTTTCCGGAACATGCATTGTGCATGCCTGCAGGGCCGCCCTGTGGTGAGATCTATCACCGGCCATGTACCTCGGATACGGCCGATGACAGATCTGTGTACCGACCCCGTTGCCAGTACCATGTGACCTGCTGTGTCCAATCACAGCAGGTCACATGACATGACAGTTGTATACAATGGATGGCTTCCTTTCATGCCATCCATTGTATACAAGTGTGTCTAGCTGTGAATGGTCACAGCGATCACATGCACAAGCTAGGCCAATCACAGCCCAGCTGTGTCATGTGGTTAGCCGTGGCCAAATCACAGCTAATCACAGAAAAAAAAAGAACCCTGAATGAATCGAGTTTATTCAGGTAAATGCTTGCTTATAGCAAATCAATTCTTTTCTATTAGCAAATTGTGTAAAAAAAAAAAAAAAAAAAAAAAATCACTTCCCCAAAGTAGTACAATGTTACTATGGTAACATTACACTACTTTGGTCATAGTGAATTATGAAAACAAATCTTAAAAAAAGAGAAAAAAAAATAATAAAAAATTAAAAAAAAAAAAAATCTTTTTTTTTGTACTGTCACCAGTCAGTGTCCCTGATCACTGCCATGCCAGTTATATGATGACGCTGTACTGCACTCACTGGTGACAGTATGTAAAAAAAAATAGTGAAAACCATTTTTTTAATTTCTTCTTCTTCTGAAAAATTATGACAAAAAAATTTCAACTTCAAAAAACTCGCCATGCCTGTTATGAAATACGTCGGACTGTCTACTTTGCAAAAAGGGATCATTTGGGGGATATCTGTACTGTTCTGACATTCTTGGACCTCAAGAAATTAGATTGGCTGTCAGAACTTCAGGATTGATCAATATTCAGATATATCCCATAGTTTGTGAACTCTATAACTTTCCTACAGAATAAATAATACTAATTTGGGTTATATTCACCAAAGAAATGTAGCAGAATGCATCTTGGCCTAAATTTATGAAGAACAATTAAACTTTTGCAAAAAAAAAAACAAAGAAAAACATGGGTTTTTTTTGTTTTAAATTTTCGGTCTTTTATTGTTAATTTAGCAAAAAATAAAAATCCCCAGTGGTGATTAAATACCACCAAAAGAAAGCACTAGTTGTGTGAAGAAAATTATAAAATTTTAGTTTGGGTATAATGTTGCATGACTGCACAATTGTCTTTCAAAGTGAGACAGCGCTGAAATCTGAAAATTGGCCCGGGCAGGAAGGGTGTAAAAGTGCCCTGTATGGAAGTGGTTAAAGAGAGATTTTATACTTTAACACCACTGTGAAAAAATGTATGTAATAATACACAATATTTAAACCATAGTAGGAAAAGAAATACATAGAAAATAGACCTATAAAGGATAAAGAATAAAAAAACCCATAGGGACCCAAAAAGAAGAAAATGTATGTTCCATCCATTGGAGCCATATAACATTTAAATTTATACATAGAATTTCTCAGATAATAAGTATGTTTTTCATAGGAAATATACCTATTTAGATCTGTTATCCATTCAGAAAGAGTTGGTGGGTGAGGCAAGGTCTGTTTAAGTGCAATCTGCCTTCGGGCTCTGAATAAAGCTCTAGAATTGATGAACACCAGATAATGGTCCATAGAATAAGAGTCAAAATGGACTAACAGGCACGTAAGGAGTTCCACTAAGATATTACTGTAGTCCCCAGTAAGACATTCAGAGTGCTTACAACCTCAGCCCAATATCTCTTCAACTTGGGATATCACCACATAAGATGGATAAGGGATCCTGAAGAATGACCGCACCTATTGCAGCTTGCGTTACCTCAATTCTGTTTCACTGTTGCACTGATTGTAAAATAACATCACAAATCTCATTTCCAAATCTCAAATCTCAAATCCCTTTCTCATTGTGCTCTACAGATCAATAGAAATCTCAATAAGAAGTGTTCTAATAACACCACATACATGGCAGAAATCAAACCCTACGTAGATGGTTCCTATACAGTATTGTCAAATATATACAAGTAGGATAAAGAGACAGAAAAAAAATCAGATGGTGCTGGTATTGCATTTCTCAATTAAAGAAACTGGTAAAACCATTTAGAATTAAGTGTAAATTCATCAGTTAGTTGTACAAAAGACTTCACCGCAGTAGAAAAAATAGGCATAAAGCTGCCTTATCTGTATGTATATCATCAGTTCTTACTTGACTTCCCCTCCTGTCTTTTGCTATTTGGGTACTGGGTATCCGGGAAGCTGGTTTTCATTGCTTTCAATTCTTCCCTCCCTGGACAGGGATGGGCTCAGGCATTGCATATTTGGCTTTTTGCTGCACCTTCCCTTGGAACCTGACCCTTCTTCTCTTCACCTCTTTGCACGTAAGTCCCTCCTTGGGATTACACCATCCATTTCAGACTCGTGCAGAGTGATCACCTGATCACATTTTCACATTTTCTTCCAAAGCCTTTTGTATGCCAAATAGCTGTTTAACCACTAGCCTACAGGGCATTTATACCCCCTTCCTGCCCAGGCCAATTTCCATCTTTCAGCGCTTGTCACACTTTGAATGACAATTGCGCGGTCATGCAACATTGTACCCATTTGAAATTTTTTTTTTTTTAGATAGATAGAGCTTTCTTTTGGTGGTATTTAATCACCTCTGGAATTTTTATTTTTTCTTAAACCAAAACCACTGAAAATTTTGAAAAAAAAACATTTTTTTCTTAGTTTTTGTTATACAATTTTGTAAATAAGTGATTTTTCTCCTTCACTGATGTGCGCTAATGAGGCTGCAGTGATGGGCACTGATAGGCTGCACTGACAGACACTGATAGGTGGCACTGATGGGCACTGATGAGGAGGCACTGGTAGGTTGCACTGATGGGCATTGACAGGCATCACTGATGGGCACTGAAAAGCAGCACTGATACATGACACTGATAGGCAGCACTGACCGACACTGTTAGGCGGCACTGACTGGCACTGATAGGCAGCACTGGCTGGCACTGATTGGCAGCACTGATAGGTGGCACTGATTGGCATTGATAGGTGGCACTGACTGCCACTGATAGGTGACATTGAAAGGCAGCTCAGATGGGCACTGATATGTGGCATTGGTGGGCACTGGCACTGATGAGCACTGGCACTGGTGGACACTGACAGGTGGCACTTCTGGGGCCACACTGATCATCAGGGCACACTGATCATCAGTGCCCCGATGATCAGTGTACATGTCCCCTCAGCGTGACAGCTCGAGAGGAGAGAAATGCCGATAACCGGCATTTCCGTGTTTACATGTGATCAGCTGTGATTGGACACATAGCTGATCACATGACCGAGCCGACATCTTCGGCTCTTTCCGTGATCCGCTGTGTCCGAGGGACACAGCGGACCGGCGATTGCCGCGCTGCGCACTTCCTGAGCTGCGCATGCGCATTGAGAATGGTAGGACGTCATATGAAGTCCTATCAGAACGAGAGAACCACCTTGCGCCCGTCTTTGTACTATAGGGCGGGCGGAAGGTGGTTAAGCCCTGCTCTAACTTTTGTTGGCTGCAAGATGCTTCTGCTGTTAACTGTTTGTACGGGTCAGTTGACCTTTCTTTTGTTTTGTGAGTCATTTGCTGCTGTTTTAGCCGGTTTGTTGCCCAACCCTCAATTTATTGCTTTGAGACATTCCATGATCTATCAATTCCTGTGTCCTGTGCTGCACAATACGTATAGGAATTTTGATGTACCTGTAAAGTCCCTCACCTCTTTTCTCTGTTATCTCCTTATGGTTTACTAAAAAAGCTGGAGTGGGGTTATATGAATACACTGGGAGCTGGATCCAGCAAAGCTTTTGCCAGTCTCAGGTAGTTTTTTTTTTATCCAAGGCTTATGTCAAGTTTGTAATAAAGAATTCAATACAAACAACTGTTCAACAGCTCTATCTATTCCAACAGCAGGAGGCAGATTTATCTGTTTACATTTGAAGGTTTGTCTGCCTGGGACACTATAGGGTCTATTTATAAAACAATGAATGTGATTTTCACCGAGCATTGGTGGATAATTAGTTATTGGCATAAAAATTGTGGTCCTGGAACATTCTCCAGCAGAGAACACTTGATGAAAGTCACATTCACTGCTTTATATATATTTAGGACTGTACATGTTTTACTGGTCTCAGTGTTATGTCGCATTGTTCATAATGCGTTATTGTATCATAGGCTTTAGAGCCCCTGATCTGTGAAACTATGTCTGTTAGAATAGCTGGGAAACTATTCCAGTTTCATGGGTAGCTTCATTTAGATGTATTCTAAATAACTGCAATATTGTTTATGTGGTTTCAGATGGTGCCCTGCTGATTGCCGTTTGCAGAGGTAAAGTGAGTGAAGGTCTGGACTTCTCAGACGACAATGCCCGGGCAGTTGTTACTGTAGGAATTCCTTTTCCTAATGTAAAGGATCTTCAGGTATGTTTGTAATCGCTGCAGTTAATATTGCTATATAATATTAGATTTATTTTTTTTAATGAAAGCATTTGAAGAATTTTTGGTTTGACCTTAAAGTAAACCTTTACATTGCCCAAGTATGCTAACATTGTGGCATATTCATAATTTGTTTATGCAACATTTTGTCAAGTCAGCAACAATGTTCTCATCTCTGGTAATTCCGCCAAGCTTCTGACGCGCAAAGAACAATCACACATGGCAATCACAGGAAGAGTAGAAGTGTCTCTGACGTGATCTGTGGTATGAAAAATATCTTGCTCCACTGAAAAGTAATCTATAGCTTTGTATTTCAGTTATTTCTAGCCTACTGCTATTAACCACTTGCCCTCCTGAAGATTTACCCCCCCCCCCTTCCTGACCAGGCCATTTTTTGCATTATGGTGCTGAATTACTTTAACTGACAATTGCACGGTCATGCAATGCTGCACCCAAATTAAATTTACGTCCTTTTTTTTTCCAGCGAATTGAACTTTCTTTCAGTGGTATTTGATCGCCTGTGCGGTTTTCATTTTTTGCGTTATAAAAAAAAAAAAAAAGACTGACAAATTTCAGGAAAAAAACTAATTTTTTTGCTATTAAACATGTCCAGTAAAAAAAATAAAAATAATAAATTTAGGCCAAAATGTATTCTGCTGCATGTCTTTGCTAAAACAAAATCCCAATACATGTTAATTAATTGGTTTACGTGAAAGTTATAGCGTTTACAAATGGCAGTATATATACTGGAATTTTTTTTTTTCTTACTAGTAATGGTGGCAATCAGCGACTTATAACGGGACTGCGGCAGGCATTCTGACACTGGGGGGAACTGATATGGTGTCACTGACATCCCCAGTGACACCAATACAGTGATCAGTGCTAAAAAAAAAAAGCACTGACACTGTACTGATAACACTGGGCAAGAAGGGGTTAACATGAGGGGCGATCAAAGCGTTAACTGCGTGCTGGGAGTGTTTTAATGGGGGGGCAGTGTGTTGGTGCTTCACTGTAAGCACACTTCTTTGTGCCCAGTGTGCCCGAGCCGACAGGGAGGAGGACTGTTAGTAAACAAAGCAGCCCTCCTCCCCGTCGGAGATCCTCGGTAATCACTGGGCTCCAGCGGGTAATAACTGTCCAGGACCCAGTGATTGACAGTCGCGGCCGCAAATGGTGGCGTGGGTAGGATGCTCGAGCGTACCCCCCACCCGGAAATACAAAATCATGTGTATATATATATATGTGATTTTGCGCACTCCTGCCGCCTTGTAGCAGTATATCTGCTATAGGGTGGCAGGGATGTGGTTAATCAGAATGATCTTAAAGTTTGTAAGCTTACTTTAAGAATCCCACACCGTTAGTTTTAATCCTTTGATACATATTCACTATGCCCTGTAAGTAGGCACTGCTGAGGCACATAATTCACAGAGCCTGTCTTCTGAACTACAGAGGTCCTGAGAGGAGGAGTTTCCGGAGGCGGAGTCAGTAGCGGAATTGCTGCTTGCAGGCAGCGTGGTACCATAGGATATGTAGTCCTTAGAAATTTAAACTGTAAGTAAATATCAGAGGGAAAGCTGCAACACATGTAGGGAATCCAGGAAGTTGTAGAAAGAGATGGCCAGCGGACAGGCAGAATTCACAATATGAAAGAAAATTTTTCATGTAAGGATTGCCAAAAATAACTGTTGTTTGTATTGCTATTGCAATCTAATGATTCCCTTTAAAGTGGTATTACAACTAACTAAAAGCAAATATTTATTACATTGCAGCTTACCAGTCCTTAGATGCGATTCCTGCGTTAGCTGCCTTTCTTTTATTATTTTATTTATATCTGGTGATCTAGTCAGTAAGTCTGTTGTTTTTCAACAGAATAGGCTCTCTTGCAAATGATGCAGTTAAAGTATTGAGACAAACTATTTACCACTAACACTTACAATGATCAGCTTTTAGGTATTCATGGAAAACCTTTAAAACTTGAAAAAACTGTTGCTATATCTGCTTGTGTAACTCAGTGTAAGCTGCAATTTGGCTTCAAGTTTCTGCTAGTACATCTATCACTCCCCTCCTCCCAGACTGACAATGTTGCTGTTCAAAGGTGCCCCCTGTGCTCCTTCATCCAGAGCGGGGGAACTTTACTAGAGGAGGTATGTTACTGGTCAGATCACCAGTGGAAAACAGAGGGAGAAAGTTTAAAAAGAGGAAAACTAATGCAGCCACCAGTAAGGATTGGTAAGATGCAATATATTACTTTTTTGGTTTGGGGTATAATACCACTTTAAAGGCATAATTCACCTTTACAAAAAAACTGTCTATGCGTATAAGGGACATATGTAAATGAAAACAAGCTGTGTAGCTTTGACCAAAATTGAATATAGCCCTTGCTATATGTGTAGGCCATTTACGTACCTTATGACATTTGACTGGAAAACTCCCAGGAGGTTGCTAGGCCATTGCTAAGAGCGACCCACCTATACTGTTCACTTTGTGAAAAGAGTGAGCTCTTTCTCTGATTCAAACACCCTTCCATTCCCTTTTTTCCTCTGATACAGTAGCTCTGAGTGCAGAGTTTAGGAGCTCATTTCTGTGATGGTGAAGGTGAGTAGTAATAGCTGAGCCTCTCTTAGCAACATCCTGGGAGTGTTCCAGTCAGGCTTCACGTGGTACATAAATGGTCTGCACCTTTAGCAAGGGCATTATTCAACTATTGTCAAAGCTGCAGTTTATTTTTATCTAAATGTTTGAGGTGATTTTACCTGTAATGCTTGGATCTTAAAGGAGGGGTATACCCCGGAAGCTTGTCCTGAATATGTGGATGTTAGTGCAAATAAAAAAAAGCATTACGCACAGTACTCAATATAGTAAATTATTCAAGGCTGCTGGAAACCTTTTTTTCCAAGAGTTACATCATCTATTCCAGCTACAAAATAGAAACGGAAAGTACTCAATTGTATCCATCTACAGACATCTGCAGGTAAACTAACACTTTAAGGGCTGGCTCACACCAGATGCAGTCCAGTGCAGTGTTTTCCATGTATTTCAATGACCCTAGTTCACACCACTGCAGTCAGTTTCCGGAGCAGGAAAAAAAAAATAAAACATGCTGCAATTTTTCTTCTCTATCAAAAATGTACTAGAGGGGAGTACGGTGTGAACTGTAAGCAAAAACGCATCTGGAATGCATCCGGAGTACGTTTTTTGTGGTGGTGTGAACTGGCCCTAAGATCATTTACTGAATGAAACCTGCACTGAAATATGTAGGCTACTGTTCCTGACTGACTTATAAAATTACTAGTTTCTTGTAAAACCAATGACGAAAATTGAATATATACAGTTGTGTCCAAAATTATTCAACCCCCACTGAAATTGAGTGTTTTGGCCAGTTTGACATTGCTTTTGATCATTCAGTCATCTTGCTTACATTTACATTAAAGAGGCACTTGTAGGTCAGACAAATATAACATAACAGTTATAATGAAATAACCACAAATGTCTTTTTCTGTGCTCACAGCATTATCAGTTTTTTATTCAACCCCCAAGTGACATTCAATCTTAGTACTTAGTACAGCATCCTTTTACAGTTTTAACAGCTTTTAAACGTGAAGCATAGCTTGACACAAGTGTCTTGCAGCGATCTACGGGTATCTTCGCCCATTCTTCATGGGCAAAGGCCTCCAGTTCAGTCACATTCTTAGGCTTGCGCACTGCAACTGCTTTCTTTAAGTCCCACCAGAGGTTCTCAATCGGATTTAAGTCTGGTGACTGCGATGGCCACTCCAAAATGTTCCAGCCTTTCCTCTGCAACCATGCTCTAGTGGACTTGGAGGTATGCTTGGGATCATTGTCCTGTTGAAAGGTCCAACGTCTCTCCCAAGCCTCAGGTGTGTGACGG